AGGGGGTGGGAGGGCTCCCCAGGGCCTTCCTGAGGGGGCAGGAATGGTGGGCTCTGCCCAGTCCCACCTCCTCAGTCACACTGTTCTGGGTGGGTGAAATGAGTCAGGAAGGGAGGGACCATGAAAATGGTTCACAGCGGCGTGGGGCCGAGGTAGGGGCTGCCAGGAAGGCGCTCATGGCCACCCCTCATCTCCAAACAGCTTATCTTTTTTCCCTCTACTTTTCTCTCCATCCTGCTCTTCCCCTTCCATATGTTGCTGCTTCTTTCTGGCTCCGTAACAGTCACATTTCCTGAATGCTCACTGCATCTCAACACCATGCAAAAGGCTTTTATTTAATCTTTGCAACAACCCTGTGACTTGACAGATGAGAGCACTGAACTCTGGTAAAGTGACTTACCCAAGAGACAGAGAGGGGATTTGAACCTGGGTGAGTCTGACTCCAAAGCCTTTACATTAAAATAAAAATTGATTTCTTTAATTCCATAAGAAATATGCAAACACATTTTCCTTGTTAAACACAACCCTCCCCCCCAAACCAGTGTGGAAACAAAACTGTTAACATTAAGGCTAAAGTTCCCTTGAACCACCTCCCTGTCACAGATCACAATTGGTCCTTCCTCTGTAGGGCTTGGTGTGTGTCCTGCCAGGTATTTCTACTCATTTGAATACATAAGCACAGCCACCTTTTAAGTGTTGTTTTGTGGCTTTGGGTTTTGTTGTCATTCTTAATTTGGTTCCCTGAGTATAATTCATTTTGTAAATGCTTAAATCTCTTCCTTTATTTACCAATTTTTGAAATAATACAGTGATTCTTTTGCATCCTCCAAAGGTAACTAATGCATTAAATATCATTATGAACACATTGATAACATTATTCATGGAGCATCTTTTTGATGCTCAAGTTGTTCCATTTTCGGTTAGGTTGATGCTTGACTCCTGTAGTCAAAAGCTTTTCTCCCCAGCAGACTTGCAGTTGGCAGCCATCCTCACTGCACCCAGCAGCAGCCCACCCACCCTGGTCAGGGTAGTCCGGCCCCATGTGACCTGGCTCCACTGAGTCGGGAGGAGAGGAGTGGCTGACCTCAGAGTGATCCTAAAATAGAACTTCTGTGATAAGGGCTTATCTCACATTCCTAGTGTGATCAGGGCAACATACTTCTTGCTCAAGCAAACTCCAGAAGGGTGCTGCCCTGCCACCTACTCCAATCACACCCTGTTACCCAGCTGGCCTTGGCCTAGAGCCCAGACTTCAGCCTGCTTGGGATGCTCTGGGATTGTAAGGGGTGAAACTTTGGAAACATGCAGACCTAGGTTTCAATCTTGCTGTTCTCACAAGGTGAGGATCTTTGTAAAGTTACCTAACCTTCCCCAGACTCAGTCTTCTCATCTGTCAAGTGGGGTAATGATAGTTCTTAGTCAAAGGAGTGATGGATATCAAACGTAGGTCATGGTGAGCACCATGCCTGGGCTGTGCTAGTTGGAGCTCTACAACTCACAGAATCCCTCAGGCCTGGCACAAGGCATTTTAGACTTCCTGGGAACCATATACTCACTCGCTGACACAAATATGCCCCGTGCATAAAATGTGCTCACACCCACTAGTGCACACCTCTCTGCCACACCCCCATGCTGCACAGCTGCCCACACTGCCCTCCGGACACCCTGTCCATCTCTTCTTTGTCTCCTGAAGAGCTCATTTCCAGCCCAGCAGCCCCAGTGAAAGAGGGACTTTCCACCTGTGTGAGGAGAGCTCCCTCTTCCATTTCCTGAAGGAGATGATCAGAGGGAGTCTGCAGGCTGGGCTGGGGCTCCTTACAGGTCAGGTTCTAGACTGTTCCCTGCCAGGACTAACCTCAGCCTGTGTCTTTTTTTTCAGCCACAGGTCAACCCAAGACCTGGGGACCTGATTGAGATTTTCCGCTTTGGCTACGCTCACTGGGCCCTCTATGTGGGAAACGGCTACGTGGTCCATCTGGCTCCTCCAAGTAAGGATGGGTTCTCTGTGTAAGTGCAAGAGATGAGGGGGAGTGCGAACAGTTGCACACTTGTGTGCTTGCTCTCACCTCAGTACCCGGCATAGTGGGCACTCAGTGGCCATTGGCTGAATGATACTCCCTGGTAGGTATCCTTCCTTAGCAGCAAGTTTGTGGAGAGACTGTTGACCTTTATTCCAGGAGAGAGTGGGGTTCAGGTGCACCCACCCCACTGTCCTAGGGAAGCATCCCTTCTTGTGTACTCGATGTTCTAGAGGGGCAAATGAGTAGGAAACAGTTCACAGCTGGCTGCACAGGGCAATGGAAGGAGTGTGGGCCTCCCAACTAGGCAGAACCTGTTTGGAATCCTGGGGCCTCTGCTTACCGACTTGTGACTTCACCCCCTGAGTTGCAGCTTCACCCTTTACAGCTGCACCCTCTGTAAAGCAGATGAAATTCCCCCTGCTCCTGGTTGTGCAGGGATGAAATGAAGGACTGCGGGAGAGCACTGGTGCGGGGGGCCCTGGTGGGTGCTGAGCCAACCTCCCTTCCCTTCCAGAGCATCATGGTGTTAAAGAAAATGCCAAAACCTTGGAAACCACTCAACAGCATGGAGTTGGCCAAATAAAATAGACACCTGTGTTTAATGGCATACTATGCAACCATTAGAAGCATCTGGACAGCAGGTGTGTGTATACACATATGTGTATATGCATATATAAATGTTTTCCAAATGCAGGCTTTAAAAATTAGGCTTATTGAGGAATAGTTTTTAATAGTAAGATATACTCATTTTAGATACAGTTCTATGAGTTTTGACAAATGCATATAATCATGTAACCATCTGCATAATACAGATGTAGAAGACTTCCCTCCCCCTAAGTTCCTCTATGCCCCTTTGTTGTCAACCCCTGCAGCCCCAGCCCCCACACCCTCAGCTCCTGGCAACCTGATCTTTTTTCTGTCCATATAGTTTTGCCTTTTCCAGCATGTGATGTAAATGGAATCATATGGAATGTTGCCTGTCTGTCTAGTTTCTCTAACTTGGCATAACGCATTTGAGGTTCACTTACATTGTAGCACATGATAGCACGTGGCTCCTTTTTATTGCTGGTCATCCCATTGTACAGATGGGCCACCCTTTGTTTATTCACCAGCTGAAGGACATTTGGGTGGTTCTTAATTTTTGACAGAAATTATTAGAGTCACTATAAATATTCCCATACAAGTTTGCTTTGTACGTGTGAACATAAATTTTCATTTCTTTTGGGTGAACATCTAGGCATCCTATGGTAAATTGCCAGAATGTCTAAGTAGCTCACAGCAATTTAGAGAGGGCGCCCTCTACTGGGGAAAAGAAGAAACTCATGGCAGATGGGGAAGCTGAGGGCAGGGATGGGGGGAGAGGGGAAAGATGGGGGGATTTGGGGACACTGAAGAAGAGAGAGGTATGTGTGTGGGGGTAGAGAAAGATAGGACGACTAAGGGGCAGAAAAAGAAAACTGAGAAGCCAAGAAGGAGATACTCAGGGTTGGAGGGTAGATAATGTGTATTCCTCATGAAAAAGAGCAAATTCTCGGTGACATATTTTTATAGCTGTATTAATCTTGTTTCCTCTACCTCTCCTTCTCTTTGGGATCTGCAGCCCAGGCCAAGCTGGGTGCTGTCCCTTCTGGTTTTTCCCTGTAGTTGGTCTCTCTGCCCCCATCCTTCCTCATGCAGTGGGAGAGAGCTGGGGCAGAGACATTTTGTAAAATGCCCTTTTGTTTATTTTTACTTATTTATTTTAAATATATCTGTATTGATTTCAGAGAGAGGAAGGGAGAGAGAGAGATAGAAACATCAATGACGAGTCATTGATCAGCTGCCTCTTGCAGGCCCCCGACTGGGGATCGAGCCCACAACCCAGGCATGTACCCTGACTGGGAACTGAACCGTGATCTCCTGGATCCTAAGTCAATGCTCAACCACTGAGCCACGCTCAGCCAGGCTTATTTTTATTTTTTAAAATTTATTTGAGAGAGAGAAACATTAATGTGAAAGAAACATCGATTGGTTGCATCTCACACGCACCTCGAACTGGGATTGAACCCACAACCTCCGTATATGCCCTGACCTGGAATCAACCTGCCACTCTTCTGTGTATAGGATGATGCTCCAACCAACTGAGCCACACCAGCCAGGGTGAAATACCCTTTTACAAAGGAAATAAGAACTGGTGAACTAAAGTGTAAACACATACACACATACACACGCTCACACAAAGGAGTGAATTTAGAAGCTGGTCATTAGATGAATTGGCTGTTCAGAGATTGATGTTATACCAACAGGCTTTCTGTGAGCCCAGCTTCATCCAACAGGTCCATTGGCCCCTCCCTGAGGGCTCCAGAGGCAATCACTTTGCTTTATCCAGGAGCAAAGGAGGCTGAGGTCCCCTTTAGAGGCAAATCAGAGAAGTCAGCTGGGAGAGTGTAGTCACCACCTAACCCAGTCCCTTCCATTTGCAAATGATAAAAGCCCTGGGAATAGAGAAAGGACTTGCTTGAGGCCACGCGGTGGGGTGGGGGGTGGAGGGGTTGGGTTTGCAGGTCAGGCCTCCTCTTGCTCAGTAGCTTCCTTTCCTACTGTTTAAAAAATGTCACCCTAGCCTGCTGAGTTCCCCTGCTCTGGCTCAGGGAGGAGCAGTGACAGTGTCTAGGCTACCAGCTAGTGAGGAGAAGCTGGGACTAAGACCTGGGTGTCTTTGCCCTGCACCACTCTGCCCCATCCTGAATCTTTCAGGAACATCTGAACTCAGACAGTCCTTTAGAAGAATTCACATCCTTTGCTTTAGAAATAAGAAGGTCAGAGCCCAGGGACATCCTGTGACTTCTCCAAAGTCACCCAAGCTTGGGTCTGCCCTGTTTTTGAGTTTGAAGCCATGCAGGATGGCCAGGCTCTTCCATAGCTCATCCTTAATGATGGTGCCAAGGGCAGTGGGGCAGCCTGCTTGCCCCCAGGGGCCTGCCCAGGACCATCGCTCTGTGTCCTTTGTGAACCGCAGGTGAAATCGCAGGAGCTGGTGCGGCCAGCATCATGTCCGCCCTCGCCGACAAGGCCATAGTGAAGAAGGAGCTGCTCTGTTCTGTGGCCGGGAAGGACAAGTACCAAGTCAATAACAAACACGACAAGAAGTATGCGCCGCTGCCGCCCAGCAAAATCGTCCGGCGGGCGGAGGAGCTGGTGGGGCAGGAGATGGTCTATAAGCTGACGAGCGACAACTGTGAGCACTTTGTGAACGAGCTGCGCTATGGAGTCTCCCGCAGTGACCAGGTGCGTCCTCAGCCTGTGTCCCTGTCCCCGGGAGCCAGACCATTCATTCAGCTGACAGTGGCTGGACAACCATGTGGGCCTGGCTGAGGTGGAGGCAGAGACATGAACTAGACAAAATAGCAGGGACAGAATCCCTGCCCTGGAAGGTACATTGCATACATATCTATTTTCTTCATGTCCTTGGAGTTGCTCGTTTAGCTCATTCAGTGAATGAAAGATGTCTGCCCTGTAATTTAAATAATCAGGCCGCCAGGCATTACTGTCAAACCAATTAGCCAAAGCAGACTCAATTTCTTTTAGAGAAAAAAAGCTGCAACTTGAATAAATATGTTAAAGCATGTTTCCATGGCAACTTCTCATGGGAATTCCAATCTGCCGCAGTAGGTGGCTGTGGAGGGAGCTCGTGGAGGTGGGTCGGGGTCATGCTTTCCTCCCGGAAGGCCTGTCTGTGGGAGCAGTGCATTCCCCGCCCTCCCTGGCTTTCCCAAGTGCTTACACTCAGGCCAGGCCTGGAAGTTCCGGGTGGTCAAGGATTAGGCTCCTCTTTTGTGAGGAGGAGAAGGGCTGTGGTGAAAGGGAAGGTGGGCCAGGGGAACCACACCCTCTGGATGGCGCCCAGGTGGTTCTGGGTCCTACTGGGACCTGCTCCGTGGTGCCTGGCAGTCGCCGTGCTGGTGGGGTCTCACTGCTTTGCGCTGAGGTCAGGAGGCGTGGCGGGCTGGGGGAGGGGGGCTGCCTTATTGTGCATCTGTGCTGAAACCCGGAGAGCCAGTCTGGGAGACCCCAACTTTTCAGGAGTGGTTGGCCCTCTGCTGTGCCTCCCAGGGACTGGGACGAGGTCTACTCCCCTGCACAGTTTCTCTCTTACCTCCTTCCGCAGCAGGTAACTTGTGGCCTTTCCTGTCTGTCTCCCTCTTGCTCCTTCCTTTTCTGACTCTGTGTCTACACAGACTCCCTGCATCTCTCCGTAAGAGAGTGGGCTGGTGAGAATGCCAGAGCTCCTGGCACAGAACGAATCCATGCAGACTTCTGCACTAGGAGACACCAAACTCTAGCAGGGCTTCTGTCTGGAGGTCGTGTCCCCAGGATGACCCAGGCCCCCTGAAATGCCTGCCTGAAAAAGCTCAACGCTGCCAGGAGAATTGACCGTTTGTTCCAGCCCATCTCTGAGATAGGCCCTGACCTCCCTTTCTTAGAGCATTTACTGAAAAGGGCATGTAATTGTGAAGCCTTGCTCTGCTCCATGAGATGTATATGCATCTCCTGCAACTCAAGAGTGTCTCTTTCAAGGACCTGGGACCTCTGGCTGGTGTCGCTCAGTTGGCTAAGCATCGTCCTGTGCACCAGGAGGTTGCGGGTTTGATTCCTGGTCAAAGGCATGTGCCCGGGTTTTGGGTTCTATCCCTGCTGTGGGGCGTGCAAGAGGCAGCTGATCAATGTACCCTCTCATCAGTGTTTTTCTCTCTCTTCCTCTTCTCTTCCTTTCTCTCTAAAAATCAGTAAACTATTCTTTTTTGAAAAAAGAAAAAGAAATAGAAATGCAGTCCTCAGGAAGGCCGGGCCTCTGCCTCCACTCCTGTGTGAGGGTGGGCGACTGGCTTCCATCTCATCCAGCTGGCCAACAACTGGCGCTGACCAACCCTTTGCAATTTCTCATTTCGTGGACTCTCCTGAGCCCCAGCTTGTCCGAGTCCCTTACGCACCCTTTAAAACACCCAGTCACCTCTGTGCAAATCAGAATGGAGCTGATTTGCTCCACCACTTTTCACCACTTTAACATCCCTGTTGTTTATCTCTGATGTGGAAAGTTCTAGAAAGTTTCCGAGTGTTTCTGCATGAAGTACACAGTGCGCTTTTTTTCTTTTCCCCAGCCTCTCACGTGGCTCCAGGTTATGATATTCTAGAGAAATCTGCCATTTGGTCTCTGTTTCAAGTATTTTTTCTTCTGGGTGTGGAGGGCTTGAGCATACTTGCTAGGACGTCAGGCAGCCCTGGGCCTTTGTCCAGAACCCTTCTGCTATCAGCGCAGGAACCTGGTGACCTTACTCCGTAAAGCACTATGCAGTCCTGACGTTTGTACAGTGGGTCAATCATGAGTGCCTACTCTGTGTCTGGAGGTGGGCTGAGCTCCTGGGCCACCCAGATCCATCCCGGCCTGAAGCCCTAGGTAGTGAGAGTTCACAGGGGTGGTTTCCCTGACTCCACGCTTGCTTCGGGGCTCCCAGTCGGCCAGCCTTGACCTAGAATGTCCGGGCACTGCCCCTCTGTCCTTTGCATGGCCACCTCCTGTGGCCTTACTATACCTTAAGGACCTATAGAGGGCTATTGTTTCCCTCACACCACAGCTCCGTCTTCTACTTATCTTTCCCCACCGGACACCTCTCTGCTTTCCTGGGTGGCCTGCCCTCTTGGGACCCCCATCCCTGCCAACAATTGTTCCTTCTGTGGTTCCCTCGAAGACGAGAAGGGCCAGATGGGTGGTTCCCGACTGAAGATTCTTGGTGCATGTATCTGTGGTTGGCCCCGGATGTTGAGGGTGACGCCCCTTCTCTTCTGCTGCAGGTCACAGATGCGGTGGTGGCAGTAGGCATTTCAGCAGGCATCATAGGGGTGGGCCTGGTCATCGCAGGCCTCATTGGATCGCTGCTGGACAGAGGCAAGCAGGAAAAGCAGTAAGACCAAGGAATCATCCTAGCGGCAAGCAGTTAGTACGGAGAAAACTTCGTTAGCCAGCAGGTGTGGGGTTTGGTTTATTGATTTCACTCTGTTTTATAATCATTTCAGCTGATTTTCATGGAACTAAATAAAAGCACAGGAATATTTGATTTGGGGAAATACAGCCTAGTGTGAATTTTATTAAAGAAACAGTAGGGCTCTGTCATGGACTGAATGTTTGTGTCTCCCCTCCCCCCAATTCATGTTGAAGCCCTAACCCTAAATGTGATAGTATTTGGAGGTGGCCTTTGGGAGGTAATTAGGTTGAGAGGAGGTCAGGAGGTGGTGGTAAGGGCCAGGGGGTGGGCATGATGGGGTTCGTGCCCTTATGAGAAGAAGAGAGACCAGAGCTCCCTCACTTGCTCTCTTCCAGGTGAGGACATAGGGGGAAGATAGCCATCTGCAGGCCAGGAAGAGGGTTTCACCAGGAGCTGCATCTGCCAGCACCTTCGTCTTGAACTTCTCAGCTTCCAGGACTGTGAGAAATAAATGTCTGTTATCGAAGCCCCCAGTCTGTGGTGTCTTGTTACGGCAGCCCAAGCTGACTGACACAGGCCCTTCCCAGCTGCACTGAGGTGTGTCCTGGCCATTCTCTGCTCTTCTCAGGTTTCCCCTGGGAGGGCTGTGTTCTGTTTGTGGTGTGAGGATGCATGAGTGGCAGGGGAGACACACCTGTGATGGACAAGAACAGGAACCATTGGCCTGCCAGGGCCTGGCACCTCAGCGGCTGGAATTGTGTTGAAGATTCTCCGCCATGAATGTGACCCAGGCACCAGTGGCTGAGGCTCCCCGTTCCCCGTTTCTCTCTGCTCCTCTTGGTTCCAGGAACAGTTAGTATCTTCATCTCCCCACCTCTCTGGTCCCCTCCCACCCCAGGGCTTTTCTTTCTGCATCAGCTCAGCAGCATCTCCTCAATGCCTGCAGCACCATTGCTCCCAGTTCAAGTTCCTGAGAGAGAATCTGATTGGCTCAGCTCACCACACTGGCTCAGCCTGCTGATTGGCTGCTGTTGGGGCAGGTGACCCCACTGGGCCAATCAGCTTTGGCGTGGGGCCAGTCACATGGTTGAAACCTGACGCGAGGGGCAGAGGCAGTTTCGCTCGGAGGGGATGGTGGGTGAGCCGCGCTCCATGCCTTGGGACTCCTGGTACAGCGCCCCCAGGGGAGGGGGCAGAGCTGGCACTAATCTTTGGTGCCTCCAGAGCTGCTGGGAGCCTGGGTATTGTCCCAGGGGAGATTTATTGCCCAGGATTAGAGGCTGGAGCTCACATCTCATAAGATCTGATTCCCCAGCCTCCCACTACCATTTGGTGAGCTTTAGACGGGAAGAAGTGAGAAAGCCTCCCCGTCTCTTAGCCTTCCAGTTATTGGGCCTCATAGAGCAGCTGGGCCCTCTGACCCAGAGGCAGCCTGGAAGCAAGGCAGACATGGACCCTCCTGGAACCCCCACATGGAGGCTGACATTTCAGCCAGGGAACCTGAGCAAGGCCCTCTTTGGTAGCAGCAGTACAAAGTTATTCTCTTTGTTCGCCAACCTTCTGATAGCCCTGAGCTTCCAGAGAGTCCTGTGAATTGTTCCGGCTTGGTTTCTACTGCACCGAGGGGATCAAGGGTCCCACCAGCTTCCTCATGCTTGGGAAGGTACAGCCCAGGAGAGGGTGCCATCCCAAATCTCAAGCAGAGTGTTAGTGGCTGTGGTGACCACCATAGAGGACGGCCAGGTGGAGTGGCCATTCAGTAGGGTCACAGGTGGCAGAGGCCGGGTGAGGAAGGAAAGAACACGGGGACCAGACACTTTTGCGACCACACGCAGGCACACTAGTTAGTAGCGGAGGGATATTCTGCGGCGGTTAATTTTTTTAAAGACAATTTATTTTTCAGAGAAATTTTAGATTTCTAGAGAAATTGAGAGGAAGGTACAGAGATTTCCCACATGCCCCCGGTCCCCACTCACATGTAGTCTTCCTGTTAACATCCCTCTCCAGGGGCATACTTTTGTTACAACTGATGAACCTACATTGACACATCATAATAACCCAAAGACCTTAGTTTCGCTCAAGATTCACTCTTGCTGTTTTACATTCTGTGAATCTGGACAGATTATAATGACATGTGTCCATCATTACAGTGTCATACAGAGTAGATTCACGGCCCTTAAAGTGAAGGTGGCTCACTTTCAGCATTCAACCAGGGGCAGCTTGAGCCATGGTGAGTTGGTGGAAACATAATTCCACCTGGTAGTCACAGGTGGGTGAGGACTTGACCTTTGAGTTAAAAAGGAAAAACAAAATTTTCTAAAAAGGAGGGCTGACTGAAGGAGGTCGCTGGGAAGGTGCTGGGAGATGTTTATGCCTTGTCAGGCTTCAAGTACCAGGGGATGGGACTGCGTGGGGAGGTAATTGATTGATTTTCTTGAGAGTAAAATGAGTCTACATAGAACAACGGAGATAATCCATTGAGCACCTGCTACAGACCAGACAAGTGCAGAGGTCTTCCATCCATCATCTTATCTGATCCTCACGATGTCACCGTAAAGTGGATCACTGTCCCCATGTCAGAGAAGAAGGAACTGAGGCTCTGCGAGTCAAGAACTTTCCCCAAGGTCACACAGAAAGTGCTGAGTTTCTTCCTTTCTGATTTAGAAGTCTATAGAAACAGTGGACTTCCTTCTTGAAGGGATAGATAGATACATTTCTTAATTTTCATTCTTGGCACAATTAGTCCATCCTTCAACCAATGAGAGAGGGAAAGTGAGAGACAGAACTACAGGTTGCATGAGAGCTAGGGTCAGGGAGACAGGACCTGTGCGAGGTCTTTTCCACAGCTGCTTCTAACACAGGATTTTGTGGCTCCTTCAGGCTGTCACTAGTTTTGGAGTAGCTTCATGAGAGAGCTTCCAGCAACAACCAGGCCTCCAACCACAGGCATAGTTCTCATCAGGAAGTTCTCTGCCTGAAAGTGAGCAGCCCAGGTTCAGAGTCCACAGCAAGTGCAGGCAGGTTCTCCCTCCCTCCAAAGGGGCTGAAGGCCACACTCACTATCTTGCCCTCCCCAGGGGCCTGGCCACTCTGCTCCCCTCCTGGCTGGCCAGCCCAGAGTCCTCTCTTGGAGGATGCTGGCCATGTCCCAGCAGCCTCATTCTTTGAGAAACAGAAGTTGTGACCACTTTTTAGTGGTGGGCTTGTCTGGATTTCTCCTGACAACTGGCAGGATGGGGTGATGAAATCCTTTTGTGTGACCTTCCTGAGTGGGGCCATTTGTTCCTAACTTGGGATGGATAGGGAGGAGGCTTTGTGCCTGCGCTCCTGGGGCCAGAGCCCTGGGGGTAAAAGTGGGAATGACTGTGTGGTCTGGGTCCTACCTGGGCTCCACCTCTGCAGAGGGAGAGTTGTGGCAGAAGCTGAGGGGAGACTGGGAAACTATGGCCAGAGGATCACTGTGCTCTGTGTACTGTTCCCAAGTGCAGCCTGGAAACTTCTATCTCCAGCCCCACCTCAGCCCTGAACTCCAGACTCACACGTCCAAATGCAACTCAACACGTTCACCTGGATGTCTAACTGATCTCCTCAAACCCCCTCCTGGGCATCAAATCCTTCATTTCCCTCCCCAACCTGCTCCCCCTGCCCTCACCCTCCTCTCTTCCAGGGCCGCCATCACCCAATCACAGATGCCGAGAGCCCTGGAGGTGCAGTGGGTCAGCAGAAAAGAACAGGGACCACTGGGGTTTGAATCCTGCTTCTGCCTCTTACTAGCTATGTGTTTGAGGACAAAAAACTCAGAAGAGGGGAAGGCGGAGGGGGTTAAAGCTGTGCCCATGCCCTGCTGGCGTGGCTCAGCAGTTGAGCATCGACCTATGGTCCAGGAGATGGCTGTTCAATTCCTGGTCAGGGCACGTGCCCGGGTTGCAGGCTCGATCCTGGGTGGGGGTCATGCAGGGGGCAGTCGATCAATGACTCTCTCAACATTGATGTTTCTCTCTCTCTCCCCCTCCTTTCCTCTCTCTGAGATCAATAAAGATATATTAAAAAAAAAAAAAAAAAAAGCTGTGCCCTGATCTTACATAACAATGTTCTGGAGTTCTTACATAGGCCCACAGACCTTGAGCATCTCTTGCCTGAGTGCTCTCTGGGGACTTAGGAGACCTGCCATGGTCCGAGGTTGGCCCAGACTTTCCTGACAACACACTGGGGTATCCAGAGCTGCCTTTAGGGTGGATCTTAGAGGCAAAGGATCCTAAAGGAGCTGGCCAGAGCCCCAGAGGTCGTCCAAACATCCCCTCCTTCAGCACATGAGGAAACTGAGGCCCAGAGAGGAAGGGACCTGTCCAGAGACCCTGAGTAGATTAGCAGCAGATGGGAGATTTGCTTTCAGACGTCCTGGCTCCCAGCCTGTGGGACCTGAAAGCCCAGTTTTAATCATTCAGAGTAATTGTTCCTTCTGGGTGCACAGCTCTGCCACCCCCATCCCAAGCAGACCTCCAGCAGGGAGAGGGAGCCTCTCAGGGAGGGCCTTACCTGCAGGCTGCGGGCCTTGCCGTATCTCAGGTCGGTGACAAAGTGCTCACAGTTCCATCGCAGAACACTGTACCTCATCTCCTTACCAATCATCTCCTTTGCAGAACTGAGAATCTTGTTCACAGGCTGTGGCTTGTACTTGTGGTCCAAGTGGTTGTTGACCTGATAGCGGTAGCCTCCCGCCACATCCTTCAGTAGCTCCCTTTTCACCACCCCTCCGTTGCTCAGAACAGAGATGCTCGAGGAGCCAGCCCCAGCATATTCATCTGGAATCAGATACAGCAGTATCAGGAACTGCAGGGGAAGGCGAGGCGGCGAGCGAGAAGACCAGGACAGGGAAGAAGGGTGAAGGGATTATGTTGTTGAGCTTTGGTGTCTGTCCCTTCACCAGTGAGACTGGAGGATTCACAGATTGTGCTTTTCGCAGCTCTTAAGCTGTGAATACCTTTTAAAGTTAGTGGGTGTTGCGATGGCCAGTGGCTGCCATTGTTTCCACCATGTGAATGGACATCATCTTGCCAACCAATCCCTTGTTAGCCATTGTGAACAATGATAGTAAATGGTATTTGTTATTTGTTCATCTTTGACACTTGTGAATTTCAGAAAGAGATCAAAGTTCGTTTAGTTCCCACTGTGTTTCAGACACTCTGCTGTGCAAATTTCATACATTACATCATGTATTCTCCTTTCCAATGTCATAGTAAATACTATCATCTCTATTTTACAACGGTTATGGGACCCTGAGACATTAGCACACTTTTCTGGCACGGCTCTGGCCACATGGAGAGTCTCCACCGCTTCCAGCTGATAGAGTCCAAATTCCATTATAAATCGAATCCAGGTTTTATTTTCTAAGAGGGAGAGTAACTAACGAGCACCCTAATTAAGCTGCTCATTTTGTTCTTGGAGTCTAAGGGCTGATGTTTGCAGTTAGAGCTCCTCCTTTAAGAAAAATGATCTGCACACTCAGACAACAACAGGACCCGGGTCCTCATAGTCTCTCTTTCTGTTCCAAGCCTCCCTAATTGTCGTTGGGATTTGGAGGGTTATATTTAATATTTACCATAAATTCAGACATTTTTACAGCTCTGGCAAGGTAGATGATAGCTTATAGAAATCTGAGTAGACACAAGAAGATTATTCCGATCTTGATGATGATTTCTGCCCAGTGAGAATGCAAACGCTTGGTGTCCAAGGTTATGGTGCCATTGCTCTGCAGGACACCAGCCACTGTGCAGCCCAGGTCGCAGTCTTACCCCAGCACTTTTCTTTCATTAATGATACATATCCGTGTGCTGCCTCCGTTTAACTGGCTGTGTCATCCTGCTTCTCCTGCTATCAATGAGCTAAAGGTCCTAGGTACTCTTATGTGTTTGTATGAGAATTTTCTTTGTGATGGGTAACCTGGGAGAGCTACTTCTGTTAAGGGGTCTGAAGTAAAGACTCTCAGGACACCTTGTTCTGTGACATCATGTGAACACACCGGACAAGCCCTGAAAAACATTCTCTTTCTGAGGCCGCAGATATTCAGAGACATTGCTAATTCAAGTGAAGCCAGTCTCTGCAGGCCCAGCTAAACGCACGGAGCTGGAGAGCTCCGAATGCTGACACAGCCCCCTTCGCTGGTGCCCACAGACCACTGTCCCTGCTTTGCCAGCACCTGAGTGACCACTGAGATTACTCAAAGGGATGCGGGTGTACGGTGAGCTCCAGCACTGCTCAGGGAGAAACCAACGCGGATTTCCCATGGTGGCATTTGGCTTTGAATTGCTCTCATTAAGTTAACAAATCTTAGGGAAATTATACTTTCAATAGGCCTTACCTGGAGGAGCCAGGTGGATCACATAACCGTCTCCCACATAGAGGGCCCAGTGGGAGTAGCCAGTGCGGAAAATCTCGATCAGATCCCCAGGCTTGGGTTCTTCATGAAGCTGCAAGACAGAAAGCCAGGAAGCTGTGGACAGACTTCAGGCAGCAGCAAAGGCCCTGGCTGGGGAGCTGCAGCTCGCCCTGGGGACCCCATGCTGATGTTCATCCCCTGGTGAGTGTGTGAGGAAGGCTCTTGGCCCCTGGGAGGTCCTCAGCCTCCTATAGCTTCTAGAGGTTGCCCTTGGGCAACCGGAAGCCTGGAATCGGGTTGCCCTGAGGCCTGGAAGCCTGACAAAATGACCTTGTGTCCGATGTGCATGTTATGCATGCTTGTGGGTGTATATGTTGTGTGTCTGTGTGCACTGTGCATATGTATGTTGTATGTGTTGTGTGTACATGCACACACACTAGGATGCCGGTGTACTGTGAGCGTGTTGACACAACAGCCTGCATGAAAACCCCTTCCCTGAGGCTGGGGCCCCAGGTCCATCCTCAGCAGTCAGTCAGGTGAGTTTGAGCTTCTCTGCCCTTTACACACTGACCCTCATGCCTCTATCATGCCTTTTGCCCTGGCTGTGCACAACCACAACAGGCACCTCCTCACTCTCTGCCTCCTCCAGCCCCGAGACACCTACCCAGAGATGCTGACCTGAGAGACAGGAGCTGACAGCTTCCGAAAGGGACCCGAGGTTTCAAAGGGGCGCTAGTGGGGCTGCCCAGCTTCCTGCATGCGGAGGGGCTGACACATTCACGCAGCGGGCTCTGCTGGCACCCTTCCTACCATAATGCAACCGTCCCACAGCCCAGGGGAAGGACGCAGCACCCATTTGCTCGGGAGAAACTGAGGATCAGAGAGGTGATGGTACTTGCCCAAGAACTCTCAGCTGGAAGCTGCTGCCCCGAGCATCTCCTCCGCGTCTCTTGCTGGTCCTGTTTCCTCCCTCCCTCTCCTTGCGCAACCTTTTCCCTGGTCATCAGTGTCCCCACCCAGGGCACTGCAGCTTTGTGATTTGGGAATTTTTCAGTTTTTCTTTGTCTTTGTGCCTGACCTCAGCAAGTGACAAACCTCCTGCAACCTCACCCCAAGCCACCCATCTGAGACCAGGGGTCAGCTTCCCTTTGCCCTCAGTCCATGTCAATATCCAACAGTGACAATGACCCTGGAAGTTTCTCCTGAATTCACTTTCTTGTCCATCTCCCCCCATGACTGGGTTCAGAGCAGCCCAGTTCCTGATTATGTGACCCCCCACAGTTTCCTGAGCAACCCCCAGCCTCCTGTCCCTACACTTCACATCCAGTGTCCCTAAAGTCCCCATCTGGCCAGGACCATCCTGGCCTTAGGGCACAGGCATGCCCTTGGGCAGCTCGCAGGCCCCTCCTGCCAACCCTTCCTCGC